GAAGAGAGAGAGAGAGAAAGAGAGAGAGTGTGTGTGTGTGTGTGTGTGTGTGTGGAGAAGGCCTACTTTGTGCCTCCAAAGATGAAGGGATCTGTCAGATGTGAGTTTTTGAGGAGTGAGTGGAGGAGAGAGAAGGAGGGAAGGGAGAGGAAGGGGGAAAGTGAGAGAGAAAGTGTTTGTGTGTGTGTGTATGTGTGGAGAAGGTCTACTTTGTGCCTCCAGAGATGAAGGGATCTGTCAGATGTGAGTTTTTGAGGAGTGAGTGGAGGAGAGAGAAGGAGGGAAGGGAAGGGAAGAGAGAAAGTCAGAGAGAGAGAGAGAGAAAGTGTGTGTGTATTTGCGTGTGTGCATGTGTTATGAATTCTTGTTGTATTATTCTCTCTCCTCCTCTCTCTCTCTCTCTCTCTCTCTCTCTCTCTCTCTCTCTCTCTCTCTCTCAAATCTCTCGCTCTCAAATCTCTCGCTCTCTTTGTGTGTGCCTGTGTGTATTTGTAGATGTGTCTGAATGTATTCTACTAAGTTTTTTCTTTCCATACATAAGTGAGGTTTTCATTCAGTCGTAAAGTCTAAGATAGTCATGAACAACAACTTTCTGCTTACCTTCCTAAGACTCATATCATTTACATTGATACTTGTTGGAGAACATTTTCTCGCACTCTGGTATACTGACAAGATTGCACTCTGCCCACCCATGTAGAAGCATGTGCACACCAACAAAAACTCAGAGAGCCACATGCGCATGCTGAACAGACGTCACTCTCATAAAAATCCAATCAGAAAAAAAAGCACATCTACAGATAGAGAGACAAAGGTGTTAAATTCTTGCAATTTCACCCAGATCCACGCCCGTTTCCTGTACACGTGTTCTGAATCTGTCCATTGTGATTTTTTCCCCTTGAGTTTTACAGTGAGAGAGACGTTTCTGTTTGTCCAGCCATATTTTGTATTCCCTCCTTCCCCCCCCCCGAGAAATGCTACTAATGGAAGTGTCTTTACCAAAGGGAGGATATTAACATGCTCTTATGTACAGTAGAATTGTTGTAAATGGGCTGATTTTTCAATGTCATGCTCATACTGTGTCGGAACAACAAGGGGGAACTGCTGCTTTTCTTTCCTCATCCTTACCATCATCATTTTCCTCTTCTTGTTTTGTATGTTTTTTCACTCTCTTGTGAACTGCTATTTCCGGGGTGCCTTGATAGTCGAAGCAGACTTTGTGCTGTTGAGGCTAGAGAGGTGAGCAGAGCAAGCCTGATTCCCCCCTTGGACTTCTCTGTTGACATCCACCCCTTGGCGCTCGTATGACCTTATGCTGTTGCGAGAGCCTATAAAGCTTTACTAAGACTAAAACATATTTCGTAATTGTCTGTCTTTGTCCCACAGACCTGAACGACGAGCCAGAGGACCTGTCCTACCTGGCGCCCAATGCTGGAGAGGAGAGCGTGCCATTGTCCTTCTCTGCGTATGCTAATGACTGTACGTATCCTAATCTCTCTCATTTCAGTGATGGTAGAATTTTCACTCTGCCATATTTTTCTGTCTGTGCTTCTTTTTACTCTAGTTAGTTTTGTAAGAGTTTTACGGCGCTTGCAACTACATGCAGTCATATAAGAGCGCTCTTTTTACTTAAAGCAAAGCCAATGTTTGTGTAAACACATAGAGCTCATCTTGGGATGACTACTGGTTTTTTAAAATCTTTTTTTGGCTTTTTAGCTTTTCACCAATGTAAACTTACAAACCTGTAATGTAAATACGATGCCACTGTGTTGTTTGGCTTTGCCAAAATTTGAAAAAGCAAGTGAAGCATTTCTCGAGCATCAAGGTGCAACTTCAATATTTTGTTGGGTTTTTTTTAATCAGATTTTTTGCCAGATTTAAGAAGTGTTAAAATGATCTAGACTGTAAAATGCAGGTGGAACAATGTATTCTGCACAGTGCATTGCAAGGTGCCTGTGAATAAAAATGACACAGACCTAACCGATGTATTACGGGAAGTGAACTGTGGGCAGAGGAGTATGAAGAGCCATAAAACTGAAAATGAAAGTAAAATTAGTTAACCAAGCCCTTTGTATTAAAGATTTTGTGGGTTGAATAAGTCAAAAGCCAATTGCATTTCCTGGAACAGATTCTTTACTTCTATTGCTTTATAGATATGTAAAAGGGCAATTTTTTGGGGGGGGTTTTCTTTTAGATTTGGTAGTTTTCAGATTTTTCCCTTTTAGGAGGCAATGACTCATTTAAGACATGACATTTGCGATGAGTCGGTTCTTTTGACATAATGATTGCATATGAAAAGGACAATATGTCTCCAGTAAAAGGAGTTTATTATCCGAGTTTGCCAATGTTTGAGAGGCATCAGTAAAGTGATCAGCTCTTTAGGACTTGCACAAAACATAAACTCTTTGCCTTGTGTTTTCCCACCACGCCGCGCCCCTCCTCACAGTTCTGCTGTCGCCTGCGGTGGAGAAATGCGTGCTGAAGAGAGAGCCAGGGACAGGGGCCAGCACTCCGGACTTGTGCTACCGTAAGGACGCCTCCCCAGCCTCCATGATGTCCTCCAACACCTCCTCCAGGGTAAGAAGCGTTTCCGTGAGACAGATCCGCTTATTTTGAATAGTCCGATATTATGAAGTAGCATGTCTCACATGTCTTAGAGACTTATATATCAATGGTCTAGTGGTTAAGTTGTTGGGCTCAAAATTTAAAGGTCATGGGTTATGTTCTTGGGAAAGGCACTTTACTGGAATTTGCCCGACTTCACCCAGGAGAGAATGGGTACCCGGCTAAAGACAGTGAAAGGTCTTCTCAGTTTGTTAGCATTTGAGGGTTTAATCTGCTGCTTGCACTGGATGCTTCCAAGGAAGCAGAAGATGTTTCTTTGTGTTCCAAGGTATGTTGGGGTAACAGTAATTGTAAAGAGCACAGAGCTTACAGTAGAGCATGAATGTGCATGATGTAAATAGTATTATGAACTTGGATTTTTTTTAAAATTTATAACTTGGAAAGAAGTTAATATGACTGTCATTTCTTTGTACCCTGACGTCTTCATATAAGTTACAATCATTAAAATCATCTTGCACTCCCCTGATTTCCCTCCCAGATTGCCAGTCCTGACGACTACCTGAGCATGGCAGTGCCCGATGACGTGGAGTCCATGGACAAGTTTTTCCAGTCCATCAAGACCAGTGAGCAGGAGCAGGACATAGAGGACATTGACTTTGACATGAGGGCGCCCTACATCCCCATGGACGGTGACGAGGACCTGGGCCTGCTGCCCCCGTCTTCCAACGTCCTCTTTAATCTGTCCACGGACATCAACCCTGGGTAAGGATGTGGTTCATGTATGTTGCAGAGTTTGTACAGGTCTTGGAAAACTGGAAAACTTTTGGAATTTTAGGAAAACTGCAAAATTCTTTAGAAAAACAAATTTTTAACTAGATCTATTGCAAAAATATTTCCTCGAAGTTTAGAAGACCTTGACTTTACGCATTCTGGAGTGAAACATAATGTGCATTTTTGCATTACGAAATGACACGTTATTTGTCTTAGAAAAAAGAAATCTGGTCTTGAAAACTTTTGGAAAAGTCTTGGGGAAAAAAATCTCCTGCGCAGTATGAACCCTGATGTTGGTGTGCTAGAACTTTATTTCGACAAAATTCTGTCGGGGGGGGGGGGGGGGGGGTTTAAAATTTATTTACCATTATAGATAGGTGGCTGCTGTGGACATCGTCTGAGATATGGTCACCTGACAAAGTCAACAGATAGTTAGAAATAAAGTCTTTTTTTTGTATTTTTCTATTTCATTTCCATCAAAATTGTTGTTAATCAAAAGAGCTTATTGCATTGATCGAACGTACACATTTAGTCTGAGGATTGGTTGACGAATAACTTAAGTAGCAGGTAACCACTATGAGCAGGTTTTTTGGCCTGAGTTATTAAGACAATGACTGATCGGGGCCACGTAGGATAGGGAGACTATGGAAAGGTTAAAAATTTGAGGAAAAAATATGAGGGTGTCCCAGAACAGCAGCCTTCAGTACATATACAGGTGACAACAAAGACAGGTTTGACTGCATTTTTGTCTTATATGTCCCCCACCAGGCTGTTTGGACGCACTGAGTCTGTGTTTGAACCCAAGCAGTCGCTGTTTGACGAGGAACCGGAGGCAACGGCGAAGCGCAGCGTGCGCGACATGCTAGGGGGCAGCACGGCGGTGGCCTCCATCGAGCAGCCCCCGGACACCATGTACCTCCAGCTCAAACGGCCTCTAGACATGAACAGCCTTGAAAAGGGGCCGCCCAACTTCAAGGTGCTGCGGCTGGACCAGGTGGGAGGAGTTCCAGCCAGCCCCGGCAGCATCAGTCCCCTCCAGGAGGCACAGCCTGGTCAGTCCATGATTGTCCGTGTGTGATGATTGTTTGATGATTGTATGTGGTCAGTCCATGATTGTGTCTGATAATCGTCTGTGTGTGGTCAGTCCATGATTGTCCGTGTGTGGTTAGTTCATGATTGTGTCTGATGATTAAAACTAAAAACACCTATCGTCCTGATCCCTCCTCCTTCTTTTTTCATATTTGTTACTCTCTTGCGACACATCTAATCTTCCGCACTTGTATATGACCTTATAGTGTTTGCAAGTGCCGTAAAACTCTTACTGAAACTCACACTCAAACTCAAACTAAACCTAAACCTTCCAGGACCAGTCAACAGCAGCAACAAGGACAGCGTGCTGTTGAACCTGCTGCTGCGCGGAGAGGACAGAAACTACGGCTACAAAGTGAGCAACGTTGCCAGTGTTGCTGCAGCCGCTGCTGCTATCCAAGCTAGCAACAAGGCGAGCGTCCCGCCCGAGGTGAGTGACAGTTGTGTTATGGGGTAAAGAGGAGGGAGGGAGGGGGCTCTCGTGGCCTAGAGGTTAAGGTGTTCGCCTCTTGTTCAAAGGTCCCGGGTTCGAATCCTGGTAGCGACGAAAAAAATGTTCTTCTCTAAAATTTGTCGGGGGCTCTCATGGACTAGAGGTTAAGGTGTTCGTCTCTCATTCAAAGGTCCCGGATTCGAATCCTGGTAGCGACGAAAAAAATGTTCTTCTCTAAAATTTGTCTCCTTTCACATATCCTTTCCTACTGCCCTCTAATGATGTTTTGTCGTCTGCTTTTGTCTCCACTTTCTGCCCCCACCCCCTCACCTCCTTTGCCCCCTCCTCTGGGCTTCTGACTCTTTCTGCAGCCTTTCCACTGCTACTCCCTGGCTCCTTCTTACTGCTGTCTTTCAGCCACACCCCTGATCTTCTGGTAGAAAAGATCTACACCTAGCTTTCTTGTAAAGATCCCTTGGTTATCTAAAATTGATAAGAGTAGGCTTCAGCCGCCACCCGAGCAAAATTCCAAATTTCCTACTAACTAAAAATGTTTAATGTGGATTGCGCTCATATGACCTTATGCAGTTGCGAGCGCCGTAAAGCCCTTACCAAGAAAAAAAAGAGAGGAAGGTGGAGGGTAGGGGGGGTTGCACTGATGACAAGCCTAGCAGCCTACATGCGTGTGTATTGTTGGAAAGGAAATAGGTGTTGTGTGAGTGTGTATGTAATTCAGGGGGGAGTGGGTTTGGAGGGGGGGGGGGGGTGGGATGGGTGTGAATTAATTACACCAACAAGTTGAACTTCCTGCCTGAAGTGAATAATGACAGTTGAATGGTCTGAAATTCCGATTATTAAGACATTTGTGACAGGACACTGTGAAGTCAGGCACTGGTCATGAGGAGTTACTGGTGTAATCTTGAAGCTTGTTTATTTGTCTTGCTCTTGATGAAAAAAATACTCATCTTGAATAGAAATCGAGATATTTGTGATTGAAGGAGGTGGTGGTGATCGCCCACTGTCGGAGAAAAATAGAAGTGAGAATACAGCCGCCAAAGTTCAGGTGGAAAAGTGTCTGTTGTTTTGATTTCATTATTTTGACAAGCTCCTGGAATTCGCCACAGTGCCTCTCATTTTCACCTTTTTTTTTTTTTTTTCACAAGTTATAACTTGGGTGCTCTGTCTTTTTTACATTTTCTCAAAATGACAAAAAATGACATAGGCAGCAACAATATTATTGCAGTGCGAGTCTTTGTATGCCTATGTGGGTGCTTGGCGGCTCCTTCTTTTCTATACAGCATCTATCGTCCTTATTTCTCGTCCTTACTTTTTAAAAGTTTTAGTAGAGGTTTTACAGCGCTCGCAACTGCACAAGGTCATATGAGCGCCAGAAGATTAGAGGTGTTACAAGAGAGTAACAAACATAAAAAAGAAGAAGGGGAGATAAGGACGATAGATGTTTCATAGGAAAGAAGAAGCAAACCACACCAGAGCACCTGCCAACCACCCACTCCTTACTTTTTGTGTTTGCTACATTCTTGTAGTGGGTGGTTGGTGGGTGCTTTGGTGTGGTTTGCTTCTTCATTTCTATCAAACATCTATCGTCTTTTTCTCATTTCCTTCTTTTTTTATTTGTTACTCTCTTGTAACACCTCTACTATTCGGCACTTTATGACCTTCTTGTGTTGCAAGTGCCATAAAACACTTACTTAAACTAAACTCTCTTGTAGCATCTCTGGTCTTTGGCACTTATATGACCTTATTTTGTTGCAAGTGCCATAAATACGGTAAAGCACTCTCTAAAACATACTTGATTTGTGTGTTTATAAAGTTGTGGTTTGATTATAACGTACATGACCTGTTTCTACCCTCCCATCGTCAGGTCCTTCGCTCCCATCTCCTGCCCAACCTGACCAGGCACGACTGCGAGGTCAACGCTCCGGCCCCGGCCGCCAATCTTCTACAGGGGAGAGAACTTCTGCGGGCTCTGGACGTGATGCCTGCCAAATCGCAGGCCAGAGTGGGTCACCGCTGAGAGTTGCACTGCGCTCACACACACACGGGCAACTCTCTCGTTTTTTCTGATGGGAGGGTTCCCCTCTCAGACTTACAAGATGAATTGCAGTGTGTTTTGAGAATTTTGTTTTCTCTGGCAGTTTTGTCCTCTCACGTTTCAGATCTTCACACACACTTTCCTAGTGTATTGATGTCATCACACAAAAAGCGCAGAATTTATTGTAACACAAGGCTTAGTCCCGAGTTGCATGGCACAGGACATCCGAGTAAAATGCGTTATAGTCTTACATTACATTTGTACAGGACACAGAGTGACATGAAGTAGCCTATGCTAGGTTTACATTGTAAATGGAAAGACAGGCCCTCCTTCCATGACAGAGATGGAACTTTGGATCTCTCTCATGCATACTTGGCCTCATACACACACACACGCACACACACTCTTTCATACACGTGCAGGCGTACAAATTCACATTCTCGAAAAGGCATTGATGGAAACACAATAGTGAAATTCTGCTTTTGTTGTTTTAAGATAAATTGATAATTCTTGTGCATTTTTAGCTTTTGAAAGTCTTGCTTTTGGAGAAATATAATTTTTTCTTTTTTTTTTATGTTGCCTAAGAATAGATTAGCACGGTTTTAACAGAGAGCATAAAAATCCAAACATTTTGTCTGTATCTGGCCGTGCTCACACAAAAGGGGTCCTAGGTGCTTCTGTAGTTCCTTTCTTAAACTTTAATTTTGATTATTTAAGTTTTTTCAAGAGTTTAGAAGTTTGCGCTGGTTTTTAAAGTTTTGTTTTCTTTTTCAATAATATATACTGTGTTGGAGCTGTCCCATATTCCCAGTTAATTTCTAAAAGTGTTTGCATGCTGTGGTCAATGTGCATTGGCTGATGCTAATTGTCATGCTGTCATTATTTGATGACATAATTAACACACAGTTGTTGTTTTTTTAATGTGAAGTGTTTGGGCATTGTTCAGTTTTTATGTACTGTATTTATCAAGAATTTCAATCATTCTTCCTTAGCTCCCCCCCCCCCCCCCCCAAAAAAAAAAACCAGTTGTCCTACTCCCCTTTCATTCTAATGTTTAGTGCATTACACTTGTGTATTTTATGAGGCCACCTTGCTTTCTCTAGCGGTCTGTTTGTTGACGTAGGTGACTAGTTGTTATTTTCATTACATGTTTCTATTTGAATAGCCTCAACACACTTGTGCCCTTCTGACATGATATTAGTAAAATATTACTCTTACACGTCGGTAGTTGCTTGGCCTATCGTGTCAGCCACACATTATTCCCAGCTAGTGTTTATGTACTCCACAGTCGCTCCCTCCCACTTAATATACACTAATATAAAAAAAAAGATGTGGTTTTTTTTTCATTGTGGAGAAGTCCACAAAAGAAAAAAAAAACACTTGGAAAAAAAAAATAGTTGTCCTACTCTTTAACGGTCTTTTAGAACAATATATTAATCAGGGGTATTATATCATTCTTTTTATTAACATTCATTCAGCAGATGTTCTATTCTTTATTATCTGTGCTCAGATTGTTGTAGCCATTATTGTTTCATCAGTCAGTCTTTATATTTTCCCTCAACTGAATACAAAAGATTTTTCATCAGATGAACAGCTTCCATGTAACAAAATGTTGTAGAGGAAAAGAAAGGGTCTACTTGTTTTTTCATTTATTATCATGCATTTGTGAACATTTTGAAAATGGAAATAGTTTTGTTGGACAGACTAGCCGACTTGTTCTTAGACGGACTATTTGGCTACATATGCTGGAATTTTTTGCTGGTCAAACAACATTTTCTGTAAAAGGAGTAATTTGAACGGTGGAAAAAACATAAAAAGTACATAGTGACTTTTAAGTTGTACTATGGGTGGAGAATTAGATGTACAATCTGAAACCAACACTTTCCCCACTGAGACCTCTATTGTCAAAGATAATAGATTTCATCATGTACAGGAGCCTGCTAGAACTGTTCCAGAAAGTTCCTGGCACTGTTCAAAGTGTGTAGTAAGCTTTGGCTGACCATGACACTGTGGTCCTTGGATGGACACCCACGGGAGACGATCACAGAACTTTTCGCACAAATCTCATCCTCCTCCCTTGCCGACACGCCTCAGTGTAGAGCACCTTCCCCCAGGGGAGGGATGGCAGTGCTGATTGTATAACATTGTACACTACCTGTGCCCTCATCTGCTTTTTAGTTAAAGAGAGGACTGGTGGTAATGGCAGATTTTTTACACAAATTTTGTATAAAATTTGCGGGAGGGGAGGGGGTTGGGTGTTCTTTAAAGACTTTTTTTAGGACTGAGTTTAACTGAGTTTTTAATAATCATTTTTTAACCGTACAGGGTTATAGTCTTGATACACCATTTAGTACATGACTAAATCAAAGTAAACTCCCTCTTTCTTAGAGGGTTTTTGTTTATTGCTACTCAGTGAATATTTTTGTATCATTCAGTTTTTCAGTTTTTGTTTATGGGAGATAAACGTTGTCTTCCTGTATTCAGGGACTAGTCATTAGGCTGTGCTTTTCGACTTTTTTATTTTCAGCTGGTTATGATTAGTTCCTAGTGCATTTCTGTAGGCTGAATTGCTTGATAAAAAAAAATATCAATTGTTTACGTGTAGAATTTTTCTTGTAAAAATATCCCATTAACAAAAATATAGCTACTGCCTTTCCTCCCCCTGATGGGAACAATTATTTTTTTGAGCCAGGGTTCTATACTTGTCTATTATATTCCAATGTTTTGTGAATGGAGTTTTCACACTTGCATTAGCCTTTGACTGTGTTTGTGTGTGTGTGTGTGAGTGTGTCACAAATGTAGGAAAGAGTGGGCCTGTAGAAGCTGCTCTTCTCCACCAACGTTACCCCATGTGGTATTGTTACATTTTATTTTCCTTACAATTTCTGTTTGCGTGGAAGGTTGAGCCCCCCAGTGCAATTTATTTCCTCTTCTTTGAGATTTCTTTGAATTAGATTCTCATACATTTGATAGTAACAGCCAAAAAGTACAGAAGACTGCAATTGTTCTCAGACTTGAAGTTCTTGTACTCTTTCATGTTACTCTACACTGTACCATTAACCCGGTTCATGTTAGGTCATTGATATTTTTGTAAGCTAACTTTTTTTTCCAGTCCAGTGAAGATAGATCTTTTTTCTGTCACTTTTTATCTTATTCTATGTCACATTTTCTTCATTTTAAAGTGTGAACCATAACGTCTAGAGCATAGTAGGCCTAAGTGCTTAGAGATGATTGTGCTTATAGTTATAGAGATAGAATTTAGTTCAAGTAGAGTCAAAGTAGTTTATCACAACATAGTTGCGAAGTTTGTTACTCGTCTCTCTACTTTTAGGCTAATTCTGATGTAACTGGAAAATACATGGAGTTTGGGGTGGGTTTTTTTACATACTGTCAGAGAATCTGATGATTTATGAACCAAGAACTCATATATTGGTGTTCATGTTATAACTAGATCATATATTATACTCTGTCTCTCACATTCTACCTGTTTTCTTTCATGATACTTTGACTAAGAGATAGATAGTTGAAACATGTGAATGTTTTTCCTTTTATGTGGAGTGATTTTATAGTTGAGAGAGGGGTTGTTGTTTTTTTTATATAGTTTCGGGATTTTTTGTGTGTGAGGTTTGAGTGTAATGGGGACAGGCTTGTTTTGAGAATTTTGTTTTCTTAATTTGTTTTAGGAATGTTTCATTTTCTATGGCCTGAGAAGTTACTGTTCATCCAGTTGTTGCTTTTCTCACTTTTGGTAGGTGTTTTTTTGCTTTCTGCAGATGTAGACAAAGGGAACATATTTGTATAATATTATATTATAATGTTTTTCCCCCAGTTGCACTCTTCTTAGTGTGAAATAAATTTCCTGTGCAGGTAGTGTTTGCTAGGCATACGTTCTGATTAAACAGAGGGGGTAAGGGGAGTGCCAGAAAGTCTGGTAATGCGTCTCTAAGGGTCATTTTGAAACAGCTTCGGTTTACTTAGATACTGTGGTAACCAAATGTGCACACTACTTCATGCTGCTATTTTTATATGTCTGGTTTATCAGTCTTGAGAATTTGTAAGAGTTAAGATTTGTTCAATTCGCAGCACATAGGCCTATTGTTCAATATTTGAACAGAATTAAGTAGGCCTATTACATAACGCGTTATTTTGACATTTTTGAAGGGATGGAGTTGACCGTCATTAGGCTACTTGGTCATGATGTACATAAGTTAACTGTGATTTCGTCTTTTGTCCAGCAAAATAATTCAAAAAGATTTTTGGGAGTTTTCATATACTATTATGGCTGAGGAGGTTCTTGTGCTCCTAGCTGTAGTTTTCTTATGAACTGTGGCCATATGATCTATAGAGTAGGAACCGGGGGGGGGGGGGAAGGAAATTATTCTCAGATCACCTAAATGTATAAACAATTATCTGTACATAACTAAGATATGACTTCTTCATAAGTAGAATTTTATGCTTCTGGTTGGGGGGGGGGGGGTAAGAACGATAGTGTTTAGTTATCTTTGCAGGTTATGAAGTTTTGAAAAAGGAAGTTTTCTTCCTTCCTTTTTTCCCTCAGTACATCAGCGCTGGAGAGTGGAAAAATACACCAACTTGGTGCGAAAATGTTTTTTGTGGGTCACCTATTTTGTTCTAGACAAACTTGTTACAAAAATTTGCTTAAGTTTCATGATTCTATCAAGGACTGCTCATCTCTCTTTCTATATATAGAGACAAATGATTTGAAACAAAGAGCTCAGAATGGAAACATGTTCAACTACTGCCACTTTTGAGTTAAGGAAACAGCTTCTGGGGTTAAATTGCAGACTGCCTTACTTGTCCGATAAGATGAAAAGTTATTGAGGCTCAAAGAATTGTGGAGTTGTCATTGAATAAACAACATTTTGCATGCAGCTATAATTATGTTTCAGAGACAGAATTACAAAGAGCAGATAATGCTTTGGTAACTATTTACTTGTATATCGATTTACATACAATACGATACATACCTATATATACATGTTATACATAATAATGCACTGTGTCTTGCTGATTTTCCCATCGTAGTATGTGCATTTGTTTTATGGTCATTCATTGTCATGCTCTGTGATTGTGATTCGTTTCATACTTCTGAGCTTACTTCTTTTACTGTTGTGCATGACAATTCTCTTTTTTTTTAAATATTATTTTTGTGGCATTTCATGTACGGTATTCTCTTGATAAGCAAAATAATTTTCTGTGTTCTCTCTTTCCGTTTTCATACTGCTGAATAAAAATGTTTTAAAAAAAAAAATGCTCAGAAAAGGGTGAAAGAATCACATTTTTATGTTTATGAAAAGGCAAAAAAAAAAAAGAAAAGTATAAAAAATTCCACTTGTGTGAAGAAACCAAAAAAAATGACAGGATACTCCCTGCCTGCAACTGTAAATAGATATATATGTTTTGCTTTGCGTCCGATTTGGCATCTGGAGACATTATCATTTATTTTTTTTTACCCATCTTGTCACATGGTCAGAAAATAGGAACCTGATTTCCATTTCAGCCATATGCTACTCATTTGCCATGGGGCAATATGCCAATATTCACTTACTATTCTTCAGAGTTGTACCAGTGTCTCTATGATCATTTTCTGTTTAATAATTCACCTAGTACTTTAATGGAGAATGTTTCCTTTTGTTGCTTCTGATCATAGGGTAACCAAGAATAGATGTTTTGACAAATGCATCTTAAAAATGGTCCAGTTGATACATATGTAATCAGATAAGTGACAGTTTTGTTTACTCAGTTTTTGAAAAGTCTTTTCAGCTTCATGATACATTTAAAAACTCACTTTAACATTGTCAATGATGTTTGGAACAATGCTAAGAAAAAACTCCCAGCACAGATAATAAATAGGAAAATGATTTTCTGAATTTCTACTCTTTTTAAATGACTTTTTTTTTATATGCAAAGGTTACCTCAACAAGCGACATATGTTTTGCTGTTCCTGATATATTTCAAGATGGGTTTTTAACTTGAAGTTGGGGCTGGTTTCGTTTTGGCAGAAAAACTTTTGCTTTTAGGAAACTCTTCAGAACAAATTTCCCGTCTTTGTTGTACGCCAATGTTTGTTGTAATATTTTAATTGGATTTTTAAGAAAAACTAAGAACATACCACCGATGACTTTCATCGCACACAAAAAACAGCTCCTGGTATTGTGTATGTATCACTTTAATGTGGTGTGCTTTTGAACATGGCGATAGTTTTTTTTAATGAATCAGTGTTGTTACATTCATTTCAGTTGGGTTATTTTTTTTTTTCTCCCATTCTCACTTTTTCCATTTTTTTTCATTTCTCGTGTCCTAACTGCATTGCCCAGAGCAGCAGCCCGCGTTGACCCACCGCAAGTGAGGGAGGAGGGAGAGGGCAGCAGATTGGACCCACATATCAGAGACTGGCCCGCCAGAACTGCCAAATCATATGTACATACGGAATGTCTTGTTTTTTAGTCACTCGGAGTGATTGTCCTGTGCCTTCAACGTTGTTCAAGTAGATTATTTTAGTCATTCAGCAAATAAACGTTTAAAAAAAAGAAAAAAATTCGAGTACCTTTATCTTTTATTTTATTGTTTTGTTGGGGTTTGTTTCGGGTTGGGTTGTTTGTTTGTTGTTGTTTTTTTTTTGTTTTTTCCCCTAGATTGAAAAGAAGGGTTCACCAATTTCTGTGGTTCAGAGGGTCGCAGCGGCTTGCAGAAGATGAGAGTTTAATTCGTGTGTGTCTGTCTGCCGATATTATTATGTCAATGACCCGTGGGGGGGGTGACTCACATCTAATTCAAAAACCGCAGCAACACTTGATCATTGTCACCCGTGAAAGATGGTAGGTTTAACTCAACATCTGAGACGCCGATCCATCCGCACACGCCGCGCCTTTTGCTGTTGCCAGAACAGTCTTCAACGTCACCAGAAAAACAGACGTGAAATGTTCTGGCTACAACAGATACGTCTGACGTCTGGAAACATACCACATGCCGTGGCATGAATAATATGTAACACACAGTATAAACGAACTTCGGAAGGACAGAAAGGTTATGACCAACCGCGGAGAATGTCGAGCCGCAGAGGTACATTCGTTGTCTTCGTCGTCACCAAGCCTATACATAACATAGTGTGCGCGACCACTGATGTGTGATACACGGGGGCCAACAATAGGCCCTACACTGGCGATGACTCTCTCTCTCTCTCTCTCTCTCTCTCTCTCTCTCTCTCTCTCTCTCTCTCTCTCTCTCTCTCTCTCTCTCTCTCACTCGTCTCTCTCTCTCACACACACACACACTCTCTCTCTCTCTCTCTCTCTCTCTCTCTCTCTCTCTCTCTCTCTCTCTCTCTCTCTCTCTCTCTCTCTCTCTCTCTCTCTCTCCCTGGCCCGTTATAAAAACATTCGTTCTGATCTAGTGTCTTTTTCTTCTCTTTTTCCCTGTGCTGAAGCGAGTTTTACCGTACTTGCAACACAATAAAGTCATGTAAGTGCTGTAGATGGAGGTATTAAAAAAGAGTACTTACTTGGATGGAGAATTCAGGCTCCATGCCATAGCTGCTTCACCGTCCTCTCCAGGATCCATGAAAGGGTCTGCCTGCGAAGAAAGTCACACCAAACAGAAGGAGGAGAAGACAATGAAGAAATTTGATAGGAATGAAAGAGCAAACCTCAGGCTAGCACGTCCCGCCAGCACACCCACTTCTACATTTTAACAAATAATAGCAGAACAGTGTCTTTAGAAATTAATGGCGGCCTTACTGTACATGTGCCTTGTTGTGTAAGTAATTTCAGTTTGGTGGGAACTAAGTCTGAACTTTTCTCGGGTGACTGCCGAAGCCTACTCATCGATTTTAGGACCACCGATTTTTTTTTTGATTTTTTTTTTGGGGGGGGGGGCGGTGAACTTTTCTCGGGTGACTGCCGAAGCCTACTCATCGATTTTAGGACCACCGATTTTTTTTTTTATTTGATTTTTTTTGGGGGGGGGGGCAGAAAGGGGAGATGAAAACCGATAACAGAATATACACACACACACACATTACTCTGTACATTTTTATAGATCTAAATAGATGAACAGTATCTTTTTTTTTTTTAAAGAGGGTGGCAATACTGTACCGCCCGTGTTGTGTGTTTGGTTTTTTTTGTTTTTGTAAAGTGTTTTACGGCGCTCGCAACTGCATAAGGTCATATGAGCGCGCGGGACACACCTAATATTTTTCAGTTGGTAGGAAATTTTGAATTTTGCCCGGGTGGCCGCCGAAGCCTACTCTTATCGATTATAGACCACCAAGGGATCTTTAACGTGCGCAACTTGCACACGGGCCCTCCGAGATTTTTCGCCCTTGTCCGAGAAGGCTAGGTGTAGATCTTTCCTACCAGAAGATCAGGGGTGTGGCAGAAAGACAGCAGTAAGGAGGAGCCAAGGAGTAGCAGTAGAAAGGCTGCAGAAAGAGTCAGGAGCCCAGAGGAGGGGGCAAAGGAGGTGAGAGGGTGGGGGCAGAAAGTGGAAAGAAAGCAGACAACAGAACATTGCTAGAGAGCAGGAAAGGAGGTGAAAGGAGACAATTTTAGAGAAGAACATTTTTCGGTCGCTACCCGGATTCGAACCCGGGACCTTTGAATGAGCGGCCAACACCTTAACCTCTAGGCCACGAGAGCCCCCGTGTTGTGTGTAAAAGTAGAAGCTTTGACTTGACTGCAGACGTGCAAAGCACCGGGTGACCTTGATACACATTTCTTCAACATTGACCATCAAATAAATCATAAAATTGCTAAAATTTACATAATAATGCTTAAAATCAGATTCCTCGTGAGCTACTTTGCTTATTTTGAGACGGTAATTCCAAATTATGAAATTAATTTTTACCTGCGATAATTATTTTTTACATTTTGAGCCCTAAGTTAAATCCAGAGTAGTGGCAAATTTTAAAGTGATTCTACGCCACAGCGCGTCTCGCCAAAATCTGATCGCACGTAAAATATCAATCAGCGCTTGATTTCTCGACCCAGTCTCCAAGCCATCGTCCAATCGTCCAAACTTTGTACCATTTTGTGGTTACATCTAACAATTTGTCGTATGTTCGATAGATCGTTCAGTTTTTGTACAATTTATCGTTGCGTGTAACCGGGGCTTTAGACTTGATGACAGTAATTATAATAGCGCACATCCACGCTCTAGTCTACAGCATGCTCTATGCGCTTTACAACTCTAACAATAATGAAAATAATGATGATAATGATGATGATAATTTTGATGATAATAATAATAATAACAATAGCAATAATAATAATAACAACAATAATAATAATAATAATAATAATGATGATAATAATAATAATAACAATAATAATAATAATAATAATAATAATAATAATAATAATAATAATAATAATAATAATAATAATAATAATAATAATAATAATAATAATTGCTTTTCAATAGCGCACATCCACACATACTATATATGCGCATTACAATTTATTATTACACAAGCACACCCTGGAACATAACTCAGAAACATCCTCACTTTCCCTTCCCGAGAAGCATTCAGTCACATTCAGTGCAAGCTGCGAATTTCCCGGGCTCAAACACAAACAAACTAGCTCTCGTGGTAGAGAAGTTAAGGTGTTCGTCTCTTATTCAATATGGGGTTCGAATCCGGATGGCGACCGAAAATTTTCTCTTTACACATCATTTCCTGCTCTCTGACAATGTTCTGTCGTCTGCTTTCGTCTCCACTTTCTGCCCCTACCCCCTCACCTCCTTTCCCTACGCAGTTGCGAGCGCCGTAAAACCTTACTAAAATATATTTTTTTAAAGAAAAAAAAGCACCTCCTTTGCCCCCTTCTCTGGGCTCCTGCATGACTCTTTCTGCAGCCTTTCTACTGCTTCTCCTTGGCTCCTTCGTACTGCTGTCTTTCAGCCCTAGGAGTGACTATATATGAATAGTTACTCCAAGTTTCAGTCACTCCCCTGATCTTATAATGTAGTAGGAAAGATCTACACATAACCTTTTAGAACGAAGGCGAAAAACCTCGCAGGTCCCGTGTGCTAGTTGCCCACTTTGAAGATCCCTTGGTGGTCTAAAATCGATGCAGGCTTCGTCCGCCACCCAGGCAAAATTAAGAATTTCTTACCAACTGAAAATGTTTTATATGTATATTATATTACAAACTAGCAAGATCTTCCGCTGTCTATAGCCGGGTCACGACGTCACGATGATGATTTACATAACTTGAGGGCTGCAAGTGAAGATTTAAACTAGTCAATATAACCATGGACGACATTCTTTTCGGTATAGAAATGGGAGCATTTTGGGCTACTCAGAGGGTTGTTTTGTTTGTTGTTTTTTAATGGGTTTTTTTTTTTTTAACAAAAGATAAATATTTTAAAATATTGGGGGGAGTTTCTTTTCTTTCAGTTCACCGCTGTTTAGGGATTAACTGTGTTTAGTTCACGCCAACTCCACTTTATATACATACACCACACACAAACACACACACACACACACACACACACACACACAAACACACAAACTGACACACACGCACACACACAACTTTTTATTTCTTCCTTGTCTTTTTTGTACTTGATGTTACTCTCCAATAACACAACTAACTAATCTTCAGCATTTACATGACCTAAGTAAAACTCTTAATTTAAAATAAAACATGCGACTTCAAGGGAGGGGGGAATGGGTTGTGATCTGGCATGTATGTTTGTTTGTTTATTTAAGTACATGTAAAGAGAAGCACATCGACACAATAATGGCCATTTATTGCTGGGGTAAAAGTAAGACAGACAGACAGAAACAATAGAGTATAGAGGGAAAGTACAAAAGTACTACAAGTGGCAGTGAGGCCCTCTATCCACCCGTACACATGGCATGTCTGTGCCAAGAGATGTCAACGGTCGCGGAAAGGAGGTAAAATTCAAGGGGCTACCCAGTTTGTCATAATTACAACACTTTAACACTGTAGTTGTAACAAAGTTTTTTATTCTCCACCTTCAAATTGGTGGTGTTGAGATAGTCCCTCTAAAATGCCAATTCAGCTTGTGTTGTTCAATATTTCTTCCTTTTTGTATTCAAATCAAAGCAAATAACTCTGTAGGGCCTACAGTTTCAACAATAAATGTTCTTTCGTTAAAATCAATTGAAAAATAAAATTCAATTCTTGCAATCAATCAATCATTCATTTACTCTTTTTGAGAGTGTAAGTAATAACTTCCATCATGTACGGCAAAGTCGAGGTGGGGTGAGCCTGTGACAAACTGAGCCTGTGACAAACTGGGCCTGTGACAAACTGGGCTTGTGACAAACTGGGCTTGTGACAAACTGGGCCTGTGACAAACTGGTATGCTTCCAAAGTTCAAGCCTGTGCACAGAGAGAATAGTTCTGTGCCTCTTTCTTGAAATTTCTGTCTGACTGCCGGTGCTCCATCTCGTAAATTCAAAATGTCCAAGCATTTTTTTTCTTTTTTTTTTTGCCATTCACATCTACTCATCGTTATTGATCTAAACTGGGTAAACTTCATGGGTCCCAAACTTCATTCACTAGGACGGTAGCCTACGCTTTATGCATTCACCACTGTGTAGCCTATATATATGTAGGCCTATATGACTATATGAGGTGGGCAGTTGTGAAATGTGATGCTCCAACTGAAATAACATCTCAGCAAGCAGCTGTGTCCGTCCTCTTCAGTGTGAGCATATGGTCATTGGTGGATGCTCAGGTGTTGAAAACTATTTTTGTTTTCAATATTTCTACATGATTATCCAACATAATTGGTGGCCAGGGAAAATCGATCTCTTTATTCTTTTTCACATTTCAAACTGACTCTGCAATGTGGAAGCCCCCTAACTTTTCCTTCACGCCACGATTTAATTAAGTGTTACGAATACCTGAATTTTAATCTTTGACCAGCTACGTGGAGCATACTTCAGATTATGAGCTGTGCGGAGCTCAAAGCTGGGAAACACACGTTAAAGTTAAAGTTAAAAAAAAACACACAAATATTTACAGTCGAGCACGGATATCTCGAACGCGTTGGGAATTGACAAATAATGTTCAAGAAACCCGTAATCCACATAAACTACCGCGATAACGAAAAACAAGAGAAAATTTCTGAAAATACATGTAGTTGTGAATAGAATCAAGGGAAGTAACTGTGACAGTATAATACTAATAGTCCTAAGATAAAACACTGCTGTCGCAATGAAAAGTAGGCTACCTGGTATTAATTATAAAAGAAAGGATAGTGTGCTCAGTGCTCACAGTTATGCTGATGAGCCCTTTTCTCACTCCTAAAGTTTCTTACACTTTGTGTGTCGGCGTAGGCAATAATTTCTAGATAATAAACATTCGGAAAAACATAAAATGCGGATTTGTATCACTGATGTTATGATGAATGATGATATTATACATGTGTGTCATAGATGTCACTGACTACTGGACACTGGACATCCCGTGAACGACATAGATAGATCGATCATGAGAGTATCGTTTCATGTATATTATTTCGACGGCTCAGTTCAAGATACCTGTATGCCACATTTCTCTAAAAGTCGACCTTTTTGCTTTCCTGTCTTCTTTTTTAAAGTTTGTTACTCTTTTGTAACACCTCTAATCTTCGGCACTTATATGACCTTATTGTGTTGCAAGTGCCATAAAACTCTTACTAAAACTAAAAGCTTTCCTGTGGCCACAGATCTTTCTTCATCATATGATAGATCTATCTTTTCCAAGTGAAGATCGGGACTGTAAAATTTCACTTATTAAGTTATTTACTACAGTCCGATCTTCACAACAAAATGATGTTTGACGGAGCAAGATCTACGGCCACTAAAAAGCACAAAAAGTCGATTTTAAAAAAATATGGCTTAGTAACCCTAGCATTTCTTTTTTTAAATGTTTATTTTGGAAAAACGAGAGACACGGGACCTCCTTAGGTACTAGCTAGGACTCTTTGACATTGTAAGCGGGTGTCAAGCTGCACCAAGTTGAAAAAAATAACAGTTTTTTTTGGTTTAGTTTGCTGTAGATTTATTTACTTGTTGTTCGAGCAGAAATCTAACACGAACTCGCAGTATAAATTTGCTTTCCATTATATCTGCTTTGCTATATGACATGATATGTCACTGGTTGGTACATGTATTTCTTCTGTCTATGCTTTGGTAATGACCTGGGGTTTTGTTTTTTGGGGTTTTTCTTTTTTGTTTCTTTCTTTTTTTTTGGGGGGGGGGGGTAATTATTTTACGGTTCTCACAACTGCATAATGGCCATATGAGCGCGCGGGACACACTAAACATTTTCAGTTGGTAGGAAATTTTGAATTTTGCCCCAGTGGAGGCCGAAGTCTACCTTATCGAGTTTGGACCACCAATGGATCTTTAACGTTCGCAACTTGCACAAAGGACCTCCGAGACTTTTCGCCGTTATCCGAGAAGTCTAGGTGTTCAATCTTACAACCCATAAGATCAGGGATGTGGCTGAAAGACAGCAGTAAGTTAAGGAGTCAAGGAATAGCAGTAGAAAGGCTGCAGAAAGAGTCAGGAGCCCAGAGGAGGGGACAAAGGAGGTGAGAGGGTGGGGTGGGGGGGGCAGTGGAGACGAAAGCAGAGGACAGAACATTGCTAGAGAGCAGGAATGAATGAATGTGAAAGGAGAACATTTTAGTGAAAAAAGTTTTCCTTCGCTATCCGGATTTGAACCCAGGACCTATTGACTATTGAATGAGGGTGAGAGGCAGACACCTTAACTTTAACCTTTAGACCACAAGAGCCCCCGGTCATGACCTTCAAGAGTGGTATCTCAGACAAAAGCTTTAGTAACACCGTCAGCTGCTACTACTACTTCTACTAAAGTAGTACATTGTAGCTGACATTGTTAATACACATGTACAGTTTTCTGACAGAAAAATGGATGAAAGATACGAAATTGATAAACTAAGTGGTCAAATTCAACAACCCTCTGTACTTGGGGATCGTTCTAGAATTTTGGCTGTGTGCCTTTGTAGCAAGGAGGAGGTTCACATTTATGTAAAAAAAAAAATTTTTTTTAAAAGAGAGAGAGGATGTTTGGGCAAACAGAAGCACATCGACACAAAAACAGTCATTTAGTGAAAGGAAACGGTAAGAGTAAGACAGACAGAAATAACAGAAGGAAAGAAAAGAAACAGACCATTCCAGTAGCACCCTCAAACTCTAAACTACCCGTTCAGTTGATCATGCTACCACAAAGCTTTCGTCGCTGTTGTTGTTCAAGTTCACCGGCAGCAAGAAGAAAAAAGGAAAATGACAAAGTAGGATCTATCTGACATAGGCCAATCCACCATCCCCTGAAAATAAAACTTCCCAAAGAATCAAACAAGATCCAAGAACTTTCCCTCACAGACTCGAACCCAGGTCCCTAGAATCATAATCAGCGTCTAGTGTCTTGTTAAGTGAGGTGAAGTTAAAGCTTTACTTATTGATCAGTTCATAACATAATAATACATGTAGACTGAATTTACACAGAGTATAGCCCAGCTCAAAGTAAGTAAGCTGCTATGTACTTCACAGTTTATAATTTATTACAGGCACTATTATCATACCCTGCGGGTACTATCATCATTATCCTGACAGATCCAATACCATTCAGAAATCTTCTCCACTTCCAGTGAAGGATTCAATGGGAGCTGCCATTTCACAGACACTGTAACTAATCCAAACAAACTGACATCTTTTACTGTCTCGATTGGGTACCTGCTCCCACCTGGGTGCACAGGAAAAGTTGTGTTAAGGGTATTTCTCAAAATGCAAAGTCAGGCCCAAACTGGGTATCGTTCATGAACCGTTGCAGTTGCCAGTCCAACAGCTTGTCCTCCCCACTATTGATTCCACATTGTCAAAGAGTATGTGTTTCCCTCACAACAAGTACATACAAGATCTTCTAGGTTCTTCAAAGGCAAACTAGGAAAAGCAAAAAACAGAAGAGTAGTCTAAAATGCATAAATGAATTCAGTCAAAACACACAAAAAACACCAACAAAAATTGGGACCCTCAAGACTTTATTGGTAAACCATAACTAAAGGAGGTTATCAAGTTATTAAGCTGTTTCATGAACGTTATAAAAATAACAACATAAGTTCTTATAATTATTGGGAACCCATAATTATTATGACTATGACACTGAAATGTAGGACAGAAATTGCAATGCAAAGCTAAAATTATCCAATAATCAACATTTTTCCAAACAATATCAACACAGCTTCAAACAAGCAGAAATAATTGCATTCCAGATTTAAATTTAAAAACACTACAATTGAATGTCTTTTCTTTTAAAGAAAAGATTCAATAAAAAGCAAAACGTATCCCACTTTCAAAATAAGGAAAGAGCAGTTAGTTTTCTCCCCAGAGGAGAGGAAGCGATAACACACAAAGACATCATGAATCATACTCAATACTCTAGAGGAAACCTGTCAATATTTGTCGAATAAAACATAATTTACCCAAAAATTACATGAAACAGCTTTGCCTTTCACTGCCCATGTCAGCAGGAACTTCAGTGCCAATACTAATGTGATAGGTGGCATATCATGGACAGCTAGTCCTTTTCATTTTATTCTGTTCAAACCCCCATAACAGGTACTTCTCAAAACTGTATAATTCAACAACAACTATGGAGTATCACCCATTGGATTCATCTAATTTTTAAACAAAGTATCATGTACATTAGCAAGAAAAATCCTGTTATAAAGTCGGAAATCATGCACGTACATGGGTCGGGTAATCATAAGCAAACCAGCTTATTCAAACATGTATTGTCGTAGAATGTACTTTTATAGCAGATGGTAAAGCAGTCATTAAAGTTTTAAAAGTAGACACAGAAATGTCTGCCCCTCTTAGTTAAAGATACCACATCTTCCAAACCAGATCATTGAAAATAAAAAGATAGCAAGTTTAAAGTAGACCCTGAGCAAAATGAACAGATCTTATCATTAAAGTAATTTTTTCACAGAGGAGCGGAAAAAATAATCTAGGTATAAATTACAATATATATGTGTATGTAGAAGTGAAAAAAGAAGTGCAATTCACAGCAGAAAAAAACAACCTTGACAAGTCAGTCTGATTAGTGTAAGAAGTCTCATAAAATAATATGAAACCAAAAAAGCAGATCTCTCGTCTCAGTTTAGTTCTAATGAGAGTTTACAGCACTTGCAACACAAATTGGTCATATGTAAGTGCACAAGATTAGAGGTGTCACTAGAGAGTAACATACCAAAAAAATGAGGAGGAGAGATAAGGACAACAGAAGCTTCATAGGAAAGAAGGAGCAAATCACACCAGGGCACCCGCCAACCACCCAAACAGATCTTCCTGTGAAGTAGGAGGGTGGAGGATTTCTCTATAACATACTCAAACCCTAGTTTAACATCATTTTACAGCCTGGCAACAAGGTCATAAGAGAGGTAAAGACGTAAACATAAACATCAAGTATCAACAGAAACTGATTTTTCTAATGATCATATGGCAAGAAAGCAAAATTAGGTATAAACAGCCTGAAGTTTAATTGATAACACTTTTCAGTAACTTGTCCATCATTTCTTTGTAATGGGCGATGAGAAAGGCACTTATGAATATACATTGTATAATTTGAAAACCTCAACTTCCATACAAAGAATGTTCCAAGTGCAAAGATAAATCCAGCTTTTTCCGCCTATCAGAAGTCACAGAAAAAATTATCCAGAATTGCCATCTAAAGCTTCATGTGAGCAAACAGAAGTATCAACAAAATTTCAAGTGGCACATCTTTGGTGTAGACAGGTCAAAATAACAGACAGATCGAAAAGAAATGAGTAGAGAGTACTCTGCATGAATAAAACTCAAACAATGCAGGTTGGTTGGACATGCCTTTACGATCCTGTACAGTCTTTTCTCTCCAATGTTCAGCATTAAAGCATGGTAAAAAAAAGCTTTATAAAAATCGTAAGCATTGCATGTCAGCAAGATTTTCTTTTTAGGTCAACCTTTTAAAAAATCCTGAATTCAGGGTGAACTCAGACAATTTCAGCCCTGAATCACAGCTGACCACATAGAGCTACCTTCTCTGGTGATTTTCACTGGTCCTTACTGCTGCTAATGAAAATAATAAGAAGAATGAGAACAATAATAACGATAATTAAATAAAGTTCAAGCACACAATTAACAGGGCAGTAGTAGAAAAAATTGACAGAGGGATGTGTGTAGAAGAGAGAAATATTGTCTATTATTTTATCATTCGAAGAAAAAGAAATAAGCATGTTGTTGTATTGTTGTTGTTTCCAAATCCCTTTAGCTGCGAGCATTACACTCTAAGAAATAAGCATACCCACACACACGCACACACATATCATAGGCTGACAAAATGAGAGATCAAGAAAATTGATACACATGACATCTTAAAAAACTAATGTCCAGACATGACAATACAATACACACATTCAATCAGACCAAACAACTAGGAACCACCCCATAGCCTTTATACTTATAGTATACTCTTCTGACATTTCAAACAAGACAAAAATCACACATACGATGGTTATAAGGGGAGAGCAGTTGCGAAGTGATCAAGTACAAAGGAACGAACCCTGAGAGCAAACCATTGATGTCATGCTAATTCAGCACCTCTGTCAATTTTCACAACAGTGTACGCTAACCAGTTAAGCTTACACAATCTGGGCCGGAATGATGGCGCAGAAGACATCATTGTTCGCTCCATCCACCAATTGCCATTTGACAAAAACGTTGACCTGTGGAAACATTGAGAGAGAAAAGAAAAAAAAATCAGAAACTGATGAGCTAAATCACGAAACTGACAATAGTTACAGAGGTTGTTATCTCCGAGACTAAACACAGGCTTTTGTCCTGCAGGATTGTTCAAATAAAAATTTAAAAAAACAGACGGTATTTTAGGGGGCTCTCGGGGCCTAGAAGTAAAGGTGTTCGTCTCTCATTCAAATAGGTCCCGGGTTCAAATCTGGATAGGGACGGAAATTTTTCTTTCCTAAAATAAACTGTCTCCTTTCGCCTCCTCTCTTGCACTCTAGCAATGTTCTGTCGTCTGCTTTCATCTCCACTTTCTACCCCCACACCCCTCCCCTCCTTTGCCCTCTCCTCTGGGCTCCTGACTCTTTCTGCAGCCTTTCTATTGCTCTCCTCGGCTCCTTCTTACTGCCATGCTGTCTTTCTCGGAGGTCCCGTGTGCAAATTGTGCATGTCAAAGATCCCTTAGTGGTCAAAAATCCATAAGAGTAGGCTTCGACCGCCCCCCAAGCAAAATTCAAAATTTCCTACAAACTGAAAATGTGCGTTCATATGACCTTATGCAGTTGCAAGCACTGTAAAACAACTACCAAAAAACAAAAAAGACTGTATATTAAACAGATAAAGCAACCAAAGACTTCAAAACAACCATCCATGCTCTACTAACCACTAACCCACACTTGTTGCAACCAAGAAAATGCCCTGCTATGGAATAAGCACTAAAGAAAACATTTTCCACATACAAGTCGTAACCATATTTCATAGCATGCCAATGACAAATTGCTTTTTCGACTTAGCCCTTTTTCATTTGGTACCTTAGAAAGGGTTATCTATTCTAAGCATTGTGCTTTTCTAATTTTAAAAATTGGGTTATAAATTTTAAAAAGTTATGGGGTTGTAAAGTGTTGTAAAACATGGATGATCCACAAAGGAAAATACTCTCAAAAAGTCGACCACATAACAACAGAAAACATCTCAGTAATTAATTGGAGCATTTGAAAGAAACTTAGCGGCTTAATGTGTTTTTGGATGGAGAAATCATTTCTGCAGTCAGATTTACTTACCATTATGTAGTTATTTTGTTAGAATTAAAATGTTCATGTACATTTTTCGATTTGGAGACAGAGGGGTGTTGGGATGAGAGCATTTTATTTATAGCATTGTATCACATCATGGGATCTTTAAGGATACATTGGCAGTGTGACTAAATAATATCAAAACTTTCTTTGATGACTTCAGACCATGCCAACCATAAAATATAATTCAATTCAATCTAACATGCCATACAATTAAAAAGCTTTCTTTACTCCATTGAGAGGTACATTTATGATAAATTCTAAACAAGTACTTGACATAGAACTCTCAAATTTGAGGACACTATGGAGGAAAGCTAGATCTCTTACCTCTCACCTTCTCGACATTGAAAATCAAGCTCCTTATAGTTTACAGAATCATACCCGATACAAAAGTGTTTCTGACACCAAAAATATAGGTTAATTTATGTGCACAAACTTCAAAGCCCACATATCTTTAGTTTACCCTATTTTCAGATCGGTTGCCAAGTTTCATTCACATAAGTCCAAAAATAGAGCCAACCGAGATTTTATTCTTGTGGGTGTGTTTTACGGCGCTCGAAACTGCATAAAATCATATGAGTGTGTGGGAAACTTTAAAACATTTTCAGTTTGGTAGGAATTCATTTCGAATTTTGCCCTGTTGACGGCCGAAGCCTACTCTTATCGATTTTGGACCACCAAGGGATCTTTAACGTGCACAACTTGCACACGAGACCTTTGACATATTTCATCCCATTCCGAGAAGGCTTAGTGTTAGATCTTACCTACCCTAAAATCAGGGGTGTGGCTGAAAGACAGCAGTAAGAAAGAGCTATGGAGTAGCAGTAGAAAGGCTGCAGAAAGAGTCAGGAGCCCAAATGAGGGAGCAAAGGGGGGAGGGGATGGGGCCAGAAATTGGAGACGAAAGCAGACAACAGAACATGGTTCGAGTTCGAAAAAGTTAGGCACATATTCCTATCACGCCCAATAATACACCCGCAAACGGGCACCAAAATTTCACTGCGTACGCAAGCTCGACAGGCATTGCTATAATTCATTTCTATACTTATATGAGAAAAGAAAGTTTTTTAATGAAGTTATCAAAGCAGTGGTCATTTTTAAAAAGTACATGTACCAACAAGCATTACTTTTTGCAAACCATAACACATAATAATGTGCAAAACAAAAAATGTGTCTATACTTACAGAAGGGAAATAGCTTTTGACTTCAAGAATTGGCGTGTAGTTTTGAGTCGTACTGGCTTTGATGGGGCATTTAAGGCCTGAGTCTTTGCAGGCATCTGCGTTACTGAGAGGAAAGTTCACATAGGGGAAATCTCCAATCTTGCCAGAAACTTTAGATGTTAACTTGGACTCGTCCAAATCTTGATGGAGAGAATGAAAGAAAATAAAGCAAATATGAATTAATTTTTTAATTCAGGAAATGCCTTTCTTGCATGATAAAGACATTTGGCAGTCTCATGAACAGGCTTTCGTAAAAGCAAAGGATTGTACACTCAAAATTATATTTTGGGAGTGAGTCAAAGAAACAGAGAGATTTAAATTGGCAGGAACCAGGAAAAGGATATCTTAAATAAAATCATCAATCATGAATTACATTACTTCACAATAATCAAAGGCAGACTGTGTAAATCAGAGACAGGGAATAGCAGGACGGAGGGATACTCTTCTTTCCTGTAAATCATAGTAAATGACAAGTTACACAAAATCATTAAGAATAACTCACATAATAACCAAACTAAAATACAATCAAACCTTGTTGTACCGCCAGCCCCGCTTACCAGTAGGTTTTGCCAAAGTACAAAAAGAGTCCCCTATAAATATATAGTATTGGCGCCTTTACCCCGCCATCTGACAATTGTCTCAGTTGTACAGTCCTTATTAAACTACTGCATATTAAACCCATTGTACCGCCAGCGAACTGGCCACCAGAAGTACACACTACACACTAGGCTACACACCACGCACGGCACATCCACTCAGTAGTTGCTGACAATCTTTCATACACAGGTCTCTACCAGCCAAGCCTATGTCTAGATCAAATGTTTTTCACCAATTTGCTCCCTCCCCGCTCATTCCCCATGAAAACCTTGTTGTACTGCCAGCGTCAAGCTTGTCCCAAGGTAGGCTGTTAAAGGGGTTTGACTGCACCTACCTCTTCTCCTAACAAAGATAATGAGATACACCGAGCCAGATATTCTCTCCTTTTACACATGACAGAATGTTTAACAGATTACTAAATCATGCTAAAAGAAATTGAAATATACAAACTGGCTTTAAAGGTGAAATCAATGGCCACTGAAGTGCCCTTCTTCAGAATAGCCAAAGGTCCCTGGCAGGTTCCGTTGAACTGAGCCTTTACCAGTTGTCCTTTCAAAGGCACTGTAAAAAACAAAAATGTTTCACAATCACGTCATGTAAAATTAGTCTTTAAAATCTCATTGGAAGAACTGGAAGAAGAAAAAGACCAAGAAACACTGGAAGGCAACAAAGGAAGAGCAACAATAAAGATGGTCGGGGGCTCTCGTGGCCTAGAGGTTAAGGTGTTGGCCTCTCATTCAAAGGTCCCGGGTTCGATTCCGGGTAGCGACCATAAAATTTTCTTCTCTAAAATTGTCTCCTTTCACCTCCTTTCCTGCTCTCTAGCAATGTTCTGTTGTCTGCTTTCATTTCCACTTTCTGCCCCCACCCCCTCACCTCCTTTGCCCCCTCCTCTGGGCTCCTGACTCTTTCTGCAGCCTTTCTACTGCTACTCCTTGGCTCCTCCTAACTGCTGTCTTTCTGCCACACCCCTGATCTTCTGGTAGGAAAGATGAACACCTAGCCTTCTCGGACAAGGGCGAAAAATCTCGGAGGGCCCGTGTGCAAGTTGCGCACGTTAAAGATCTCTTGGTGGTCTAAAATCGATAAGAGTAGGCTTCGGCCGCCACCCGGGCAAAATTCAAAATTTCCTACCAACGAAAAAGTATTAGGTGTGTCCCGCGCGCTCATATGACCTTATGCAGTTGCGAGCGCCGTAAAACCCTATACTAAACAAACAAACAAAAGATGGTCAAATTACAGACACAGAGTCACTGAAAACGTAGAGAAATGGAGAAGTGTAGTTTTGGGACTGAGTCTTCATCATACTTCTTAACTATACTATAACTATCTTAATTAATGACATCAGAACTGAAATCGAGAAAAAGTGGCAATAAACATGAAATAAAGCGTAAATATTTTTTGTGGATTGGAATAGAAAGTTACAGGCATGATTCAATAATGTCTGAGTCAACAAATCGTTTGCTTAGTCTGAGACTCCACAATACGACATTTTGAAAAGTGATGCATGACTAATGATGCATGATGCAGTCTTCACTGAGTAGTCAAAATGTATTTTTTAAAAATAAATGTTGGATCATGAGCCTGTTTTAGAATATTAATAACTTACCAACTGTGGTACAGTGAAACTTGGATATTATATTATAATGAATAGTGGCCCAAGTCGTCGAGCATGACCTCCAATTTCGTTGAAACCTGAGTATTCATTTTACAACAATGTGAGGTTTTTGTGTAGTAGGATATAAATTACAGGCACCGAGTAAGGAAGTAAAAAGTGGTGCTCTGAAATGTCTGCATTTTATGGGCGGTTGCTTCCCTTTGCATTGCCTCTTGAATAAAAATATGTGCCACGAGGTGGTGGAATCAGGCACTCATCAATTTTTGGGCATGTGGAGTGAGTATCATCTGAAAGCATATTACAGTAGTCTCCACCTAAGATCCCGGTGCTCGGGAGCAAGGAAAAGCGGGATCTTGGGCGAACCAGGATCTTAACCGACGAACTGAGGGAAGAATCTATGGTGACCCATGTTGAGGCTTACAATCAGTAAAATGGTCTCCCTCCACTTACAATGAGCTGACATGGCCCCTTGGTGGGTTTATGGCATATGGCAAGCAAAGAGTGGTTAACTTTGAAGACCTATCACAGTGCATAGTGGCATGAGGCGTGCCATTTTCACTTAATATCCTATCATGAGTCTCAAGATCTATGCTTATCCAGTTGCCCCTCCCCCCTCCCTTTCACCTGTCGAAAATTTACAGCTTTCCATCTCTGACTGAGCCCCCCCCTCCGGCCAACCGTCTTTGTCGCTACACACCATTAAGTTGTGAACACACCAATTAAAATTCAGTCTGTCTTGCAAATTCGGGAGTAGAGACAACTGCAGCAATGGTCAGGGAAGATGTGATCCCACCCAGCAAGTGATGTAAGGTTAGGGGGAGAGCTCAGGTGTGAGTGCTATGCGTGGGGAAAACAAACGAGTCGGTCAGTTCACACCCCGGTGTGATCCCGTCTGGGGCAAACATTGTATCGCTTCATCAAGTTTTACAACGTGTATGCGATCACATTCACGATAGTGGCTGATCTTTGACGAGACGGACAGTTTATTGATCTCAACTTTTCACTCTTGGATGATCGGCTGTCCCGCCCGGGTTTTTGTTCCGCGAATTATGATCTGAAATGCGGGATCTTAGCCGAATATAGACCTTCAGAGTGAATCAGAGCGGGATCTTAGGGGTGACTTTTGTATAGTAAAAATTCTGTTTTCTTATTAAAACATCGGGATCTTAAGCGAAGCGGGATCTTAAGCGGTGGGATCTTAGGCGGAGACTACTGCATATATATATGCCTTGCTTTCCATGAAAAAAAAATAACCATCTATCTTGAATAGAAGTTGAGATATTTGCAATTGAAGGAAGTGGGATCCCCTGGTTTCAGAGATATATGGACATAAAAGGTGTTGAGCCAAAACAAAACAAAAATTCGATAAAAATTGACAAACTGGTGGAAAATACCTGTTCCTTCGATTTCATTATTTTGGCGAGCGCCTGATTTTTACTACCATGGCAGACGCAGGTTTCACAATTGGTTTACGTGTTCACAACAATGTCTGCTTTGCTTTTAGACATTTTTAATCAAAAGAAGTTTGGTTTCAAACTAGAAACATTTTCATTTCTTTGATGCCATTCATACCATAGTTTTTGAGACATTGAAATATTTTTATTTGAACAATAGTATAAAAGTACATTGATTGTGTAGTAATATTAAAATTTAGGATATAGTGTGGTGAAATGTTCATGATGGAATCCTGCATTTCTTGCTCTGTGTATTACTTTGCTACATGCTACAATAGCAAATTTTTACCAAAATGACAAAGATAGTGTGACTTTCATCTGCATAGGCAGGAAATTCGTGCCTTTCCATACAAGGCTGTTTAGTGACCAAGCCAAGGGCAGAGTGAATGACATGAGTTTCTCAAAAACTCTAGGGAAGTTTCAGTCAGGACCCCCCCGCCCACTGAGTTTTAACAAACCTGAAGAGCTTCATGGGGGAATGCCACTCCTGTATTTTTCGATTAAATTTTGATGCTTTGCAATTTATATTCTTCACTTGAAAACCATTATCTGCAGTGATTTTGGGAGGACTTCCGTAGCGAGCAACCCCCCAAACAAACAATAAAGAAGAGACCTGACCCTTATAATCCTAGGCCCACACCCTAACCCTACCCCTCTATTCTACTCTGTTTCATAGTGGTCGTTCATTACGGAAGTCCTCCCGTGATTTTATTGGCCATAGACTTGTGTCCAGCAGCCAAAAATTCATTGGTTTGACTAGAACTAGTGCACCAGAGTGCATGATTGATGATAGTGAAAATTAAAAGTCCAAGCAAAGAGATGAGAAGGAGCCAATCCATAATATAATCGGCTGTAGTTATTCGCACAGGGTGTGCGAATACTATGAAATTATATTCGCACAGGGTGTGTGAATACTATGAAATTTTATTTGCACAGGGTGTGCGAATACTATGAAGTTATATTCGCACAGGGCGTGTGAATACTATGAAGTTATATTCGCACAGGGTTTTTCAAAAGAAGGATGGAAATCGGCCAACCATTTCCTCATTTGTTCCCTTCATCGCGCAAGGACAAAGATCATAGGGGCTGGATTGAGCTTTGGTGGACCCATTGAGTTTATTAATGCGCACTAGGCAACTAACGGACTTATACTTATACTTATACAATCATGGGTCCTAATCGACGCTACGCGAACTAGTTCCCGGCGACGTGAGGCGGAGTGAGTGAGACTAATTGTTCCCGGCGACGCGAGGCGGAGTGAGTGAGGGCTGCGAGAATACTACGAGAGAGAGAGAGAGATAGAGAGAGAGAGAAGGGGGGACGAGACAAAGTTGTAAACGGACCTGTTATCCGAATCATTGAAGAGATCAAAGTCCGGAACATCTAGGCATCGGATGAGGACGTTTACCGCAGGAACAGGCGCAGGGTTCTCACTATACTATACTATTATATTAGTATTATTTGATCCCATCTGATGTTTCTTTTTAGGGTGAGGCAGTGGAGGGAGACCAGAATTAGTGGAGGATTGACCAGCAGGTTCCTGATTTTCTTAATTACATGTCGTAGGCTTATTTTTGCTCCTTTTCTTTTGAGGGGGAGACAGCGGAGGGAGACCAGAAGTGGAGGATGGACCAGCAGGTTCCGGGTTTTCTGAATTAGTCGCAGTACGCTAATTCATATGCGCACACCCGGTGCGAATAATATTAATTCTTATGCGCACACCCGGTGCGAATAATCACACTTCCAATATAATCAAGCCCTATTTTCAAGTTGGAAAGGCCTCCATTTTGAAAATGCAACACTCACCATTCAAACTACTTTAACTTAGTGTGGAAAACCAGCATTTCACTAAATGTCCTTTCACAGCATCCCATTTCCCTGCCCCACATCTTTTCACTTTTCTTTACCATCATCAACTTCAATCTACCCCACCTTCCTCCCAAAGATGATTTCAGTACCCCACCCCCTTTCCCAATTTGGATCAACCATAGTAATGATGAACCTCTGTTTGGGATGTGTGATCTTGGTTCAACTGATGAAAAAATGAGAGAAAGTAGCCATGGGTCATCCAAATGACATATTGAAATATCAAAGTTAAACATCAGCAAAGTCAGAGTCAGAGGGAGTGAAACACAACAAATTACAAAACGAAGTGACTATTCGGACTCGAGTCCGAATATGAAAAAATTTTATTCGGACTCTGATTCTTGTCCAGCATGACATCACTTCCGACTTCCTATGACTCGTGACTCCCGCTTCCTGTCCTGCCTCACTCGTGACTCGCCTCAGGCTGGGTAGAGACCGGGATCACTTCGGGCAAAATGG